CAAATAATTTGAATTTATTTATTTACTACATGTTTCTAACCGAACCAACCGTCGATAGCTCAGTTGGCAGAGCGGTGGACTGTAGAGGAAAAATCATAGACATCCATAGGTCGCTGGTTCGACTCCGGCTCGACGGACGCTTATTTTTTTAATTGGTGTCTTCAAATCATAAAAAAGACTAGGATAATATAGTTAAAAATAAAAAGAAACCTTTAATTTTAAGGATTCTCTCTGAAAAAAGGGAATTTAATTAAGCAGCTTGTTCCCAGCCACCGCTGTACTTCTCTGGTACTACGTCACTGTAATGAAGGAGTCAGAAGAGAAGATATAAATCTTCGAAAAGTGATTCGAAATACAAATATTTTATCGCTTGTCACATATTCCTTTCTTTGACACTGTTAAACAAATAATTTGAATTTATTTATTTACTACATGTTTCTAACCAAACCAGCCGTCGATAGCTCAGTTGGCAGAGCGGTGGACTGTAGAGGAAAAATCATAGACATCCATAGGTCGCTGGTTCGACTCCGGCTCGACGGAAGAGTTTTTACATCCGATCAGCGAAAGTCAATATTTCTTAAAAATATAAAAGTTTTGAGCGGTTATTTTTTATAATTTTTTAAAATTATATTAATATTTTTGTAGCACTCTTTTTAATCATTACAAAATTTTTACTGCTAGTTTCTCATAATTCTTTTTTAAATAGTAAAAAAACATACACTGTTGTAACAAAAAACGTTGATGTTAATTAAGTTTCTGTTAATTATATGAACAAGATTATTGCAGTAATAAATAATTATTAAATTGATAAATTTCTTAATTATAAAAACGTAAATCTTTTATACCTTATATTTTTCTCTGATGTATGGATAATAAAATAAAGATATTAACAAGATTCAGAATTCACATTTGAGATAATAGTGAACATAATTCTGAAACACTGCGTCATAATTTTTTGTTTAAGATTATCATAATTTTTGTTTAAATTTGTCATAATTTTTGTTTAAATTTATCATAATTTTTGTTTAAATTTATCATAATTTTTATTTAAATGTATCATAATTTTTGTTTAAATTTATCATAATTTTTGTTTAAATTCATCATAATTTTTGTTTAAATTTATCATAATTTTGGTTTAAATNTTTTTGTTTAAATTTGTCATAATTTTTGTTTAAATTAATCATAATTTTTGTTTAAATTTATCATAATTTTTGTTTAAATTCATCATAAGTTTTGTTTAAATTTATCATAATTTTTGTTTAAATTTATCATAAGTTTTGTTTAAATTTATCATAATTTTTGTTTACATTTATCATAATTTTTGTTTAAAAAATAATTTATGTTGTTTAAATATTCTTAACAAAAGTAATTATCCTTCTAAAATTTAAAATAGCAACTAATACTAATTTGAATAGTGGGTAGCTTTGAACGAACTTTAACACACATTGCATTCCTCTTTTACAATTTTTTGTTTTAATCTCTTTACAGAAAGTATTTTTTAAACTTTAACCTTAACCATAGTTCTGAAACGCTCAAATGACAGAGGAATTTCTGAATTGTTTATGAAGCGTGAAATGCCACCATCCACGTGTAAACTCTGACCGAAGTCCATTTTAAGCCTAAAGGCTGAATGCGTGGAAGAAGTGATGTTTCTAAAATAAACAAAATTAGAATTTCCGCAGACACATCTTCCGTAAACAGAAGAGGTCGATTGATAAAATTAACATTTCGTAGGCCATCCGTTGATTAAAATGAATCAATTTATTTTAAAAATATTATTCTGTAAATATAAAAGAAAATGGTTAATTATAAATTTGCAAGATAAAGTTGTTATTTGAAGTCTAATTTTTAAATTAACCACACCCGTATAACTTAAGAGGTGGTTTTTTAAGCCATTTCCGCATGCTTTTAGTTTTTGGATCATATATAACACAACAAAGACACAAATAAGAATAAAAGAA